TGCCCTTTTATCAAGACATCCCCAAAGGTTAATTTCCCAGAACGGAAACACAGAGCAGGCCCACACTCATGAAACACCTTGCATTCAGAGTTTCATCTTCAGTATTTTCCATTTCTCCAATATCAGGAAGGGAAAGTATCTCCTTGAGCAATAGTTTATGCATTAGCCACAAGGCAAACTCTACTTGGATCACAGTATTTTTAGGCAGGCAACTGTTTTAAATGGCAGTATTCAACTATCAAAAATAGGCAATATTTGAAGTGGTATTTTATTGTGGAACACTAAAATAAAAGGTAGTGAATAACTTTTTCTTTAAATTACTGTATGTAAGCTGTGACTGTTATTAATTTAAAAATCAAGGAATTTAAGGAATTGCATTTTACTGTCTTATGACTTCAGTACAGGACTCCCATATTATTTCTGACTCTAATTATCTGTTCTGCTAAAGAAAAGATATAATTCTAAAGGATTATGAACCTCTAACATAACTGCTTACAATACTAATGATTAAGTCTGTAGTCAATTTGCTATATACAGTATGTCATATCCCAAAGAACATTTTTCTTCCCATATTTTTAAAAATACAAATAAAAATATGTCTTCTACAAGTCTAACATTTATAAAAAAGAAAAGGGTAATGTTTCTAAAGTCTTCTAAACAGTATAACTGACTCTTTAATATATGAATATGTATGGAGTGTTCTGCTTAAGGCAGCAGCATTTCTGTAATTATAGACTTCGGCGCCCAACACCTTGAAAATGTCAAATATAATTAGGTGGTAGAATGTGTATTGTTTTAATTACAAAATGGAATAGGAATTTTCCTGTGCCTAATTAGAATAATAAAACCTCCAATGTCAATTCTTGACTAATCCTGACTAATAAGTCTTTATACTCTTACTTCCTTGGATGGATAATGGAGAAAGATCCCTGTTTAGCTTTTAATTCAGACCTGTAAATTTAAAGTTTAACCCAAATGGTCAAATCCTGTTCAGCTTAGAGCCTTAAAGTCAGAAGGATAATCAGCATAGCTACTGAAAAAGTTTGATTTGTGATCTATTTATTTTTTAAAAAGAGATTTTTTTTTATCTTTTCCCACCTTACTATTTTCTTAAACTGTAAGTTAAAAGCCTTCAGTAAACCACAGAACTTTTTTATTAATAATAATTAACACTATTAATATTTTAAAAGCTTTTTACTGTATTGAGTGAGGAATAGCCCAAGCATCAGAAAATACGTTATCTGTTCCTAAGAGTTCAACAAGGATGCAAATACCCAGAGATGTTGTAAGAAGACTTCCTGTGTTATATAGTGCAGGACAAACCAAAGCAGCATTCAGCAGCACAACAACTTCTCTGACCAGATGGGGCATGTAACAAATCTTTCTTCTGGCCAAGAGCCACAGGACAGCTATCACAATGACAGATCACAGAAGTCTGAATGAAGAGTAGAGGGTCAAGGCTTAGTAGGGAAGTACTATTGGAGTGGATACAACCTGGGAATCCCTGGCTTCTCTAAAATTGTACACTGCTAGTTTTATATTTTACTCTCATATTTGTCAGCACGCAACTAAGCAAAAAGTCCCTATTTATCTTCAGGAAAATAATTATCTTAAAATTCATGGGCTTCGTGAGAATTCAGCTGTGGAATGTCACGTACTCAGATGTCTGAACCCGTTTTGTAGGTTGCAGTTATGTGACTTGCTTTGCTAAATTGTGCTGTCTGGGTGTTCTTTATTACCATGAGCTCATACCCAGATCCCATGGTGATGTTGCCTGTATAAAAGGTAGGCAGAAAAGAGAGAAGCAGCATGGATGTAGCTTTCAGAGGAAGTTAAGACATGATTTGCCAGATGCAGACTGAAGATGGTATGATAGGCCAGGTGTCGAAATAAAGGGTTATGGGATGCCTGATACCCTCTTTGGATATTTTGTATTTTGTAAATAATTTTTAGACTTGGATGGCCAGGAACTTCTCAGATTCTAAAGTTGTTCTGCAACCCTTCCTGAGTGGAGCTGCCTCTGGATGTTTCTCTTGTTTACTGGGAACTGGGTATCTTTGTAAGCAATCAAGTAAATAAACAGGATTGCCTCAAAGAGACAATAAATGAATGCCACTGGTTTCCCAGCATGAAAAAAACATCAGCCAAGTCTTTCAGAGAAGGATGGTCTAATTAATAACTATGTTTAGTTCCCATGACAAGGCTGTGCATTGTGGAAGACTCTATTAAATTTATCATAAATGTCGATCCTTGTGCCAAGGAATTCATGGTCTAAATGACAAGGCGCAACAGATGGATGAGACAAGAAAGAGGGCTGTAGTGGGTTGGAGGAGACAAGGTGTTCCTGAGCCAACTACTGACAGCAACTGCAGCTTTCAGCCGCCCTGGCTGCTGTCCTGTGGTACCTTGCTGCAAGATTCACAACGGACAGGAGCAGAGAATGGAAAGAGGATAGGTTTCTCTTATCCTGACCGCGGTGAATCCTGAGCTCATTATCATTACTGTGATTGAGCACCTTCCAGAACAGGCCACTATTAAGAAATGGCATCAGCCAAATTCTGCCATTTTCTCATTTTTGAGAACCCATGACTCTGAAGAGAGAGCACTGAACATGGCATGCCTATAGAGCAGGGGACTAGCTTGACAGAAAAGTGAGATTTTTCAATTTATTTTTATGTTCTAAACTTAATTCTTAAATGTTGCAGGCTTATAAAAGAAGGCATTCTGTCTTTTCAGAAATTTAAGGCTTCCATCTGTATAAAGGCTTTTTTGCTTTTCTGCCTGAACTCGAGTTTCTGCTGCTCCTTGTCCCTTTTCTGGATGCAAGATTCATCTGGCCCAAAGCTAGAAGGAATTAGTCTTTTCTCTAAACTACTTGTACCTTACCATTGTTTAACTTTTGTGGAAATTGTGTACAGATACATGATAAAATGGTCTTTCTTCGCCTAGATTTAATGCTATTTGATTTCATTTCAACTTAAAAGTTGAATTTCAAATCCCAGATGTCTTTGAAATCTATTATAATTACCATTTTGGAAAATTAAGTTATATGTATTTCCAGGATTGGTTTTAGAATTTAACTTAATTTTTTTGTGACTGCCAGTTACAGTCTAGCTTTGGAAATACAACAGCTATCTTCATGTAACTCTTCAAATTATCCTTATCTTTTACCAAATCTTGAAAGAAAGGTCTCAGTATGTGTAAGACCTAAAACAGAGCTGATATGCCAATGATACAATTTCTTTTTATTTCAGAAATCTCAGTCATGCTGAATGCACAGTCACCCTAAAAGTGCTTTTTCCTTTTTCCTTTTTTATAAATAAATGTGAAGCAGCAATTATACAGGGAGAAACCAACAAAGTAAAGATTGTTTAACAAAAATATTTTTGGGGAGAAGTAATCTATATATATATTTTACAAATTTTCCATATTATATATTTTTATATATATATTCTATTAAATATATGTGTTTAAAGTAAGTTTTCAGGCAGAAATTTAAAACACAAAACCACCAGCAATGCATTTCTTTTCAGTGTGACTTCAAACATAATTGATGACTCCTTATCTTAATTATTATTGTTTGATTACATCAATTATAATTACAATAATTTAATAATTGTTATAATAAATTAATAATTATATACACTGAGATTTAGGGTATTACATGTACTGTTGATTACAAAATGTATGCTTTTGCTGCACTGTTATGGTAAATCAAGAACAGCAGTACTTCAACAAAAGGCTGGTATTTTCAGGTCTGTGTCACCAAATTTCAGCCAGAAGTTTATTCAAAAACTCCATGTCTAAGGGACAAAGCTGCCAGTCCCTACACAATGCTACAATTTATTGTACTCTCTAAATGCTGATTTACATACATACAAAAAAACAATTAATCCTGTAGGTGCCAGCCCTTCTCCAGTGGCTTCCTCCCATGCTGTTTAGCCGCTTCTGAACTCCCTACAAATGGAATTTTGAAGTGACAGGACCATCAGATGAGATACCACATTTGTAATAGCTCAGTTCCTAGGCATGTTAAGGTTCCACAGTATGCTGGTTTTTATTAACTTTGGCTCCAGAGTAATAGATTTTTATAAGGAAGATCACAGATGGTAGGATTATAAATTTTTGGATGAGGTAGTAATTTAAAAAATTGTATCTCCATTAATTTCTACCATATTCAGGCCTTTTTTTACTACTGGAAGTATTCGGTCAAGAGGATGTTGCTGGACTGAAAAGGCAGCAGGGCCTTCTTTCACTGAGAACTACTCAAACTCTACACTTGCCAAGCATATAGGCAAAACCAGAAGGGACATCTAGCTTGTGGCATTTGCATTTGTTTCCCAAAGACAGCGGCAGCACAGGTGTGACACCTCCCTTTTCATCCCCCTTTTATGGTCATCTCCTGCTCAGTCTGGTATTGTTTAGGCTGTACAGCTCTTCTATAAGCACAGAAGTGACACGGAGGATGCGACATCGATGACTTGGCCAATGAGTTATACAGCTGCTCTGAATGCATAGCAGCCTCCTCAGGTCTCAGATAGCCCTCTAATATTTTGGGGATATTGGTCTGTAATGCAGCCTTATAAACACATGTGACATCTGTCTTCTGAGAGTTAGACACGTGACTAGGTCAGCTCAATGGGCAGAGAGCTAAGTGTATTTCTCCTTCTCCTCCTCTCACACATAGTTAACTCTTTTGAGAGAAAAATACATATTTGGAAAATATTATGCTTCTTTGACAGTAGCAATGGGATAATTTCATCTTCTGCTATTGGGGATCTTTGTTGGGTGCAGCCCCCAGTTAATTTAAGTATAAAAGGAAACCAAGCTAGAGAGAAATATGACTACACCGTACCTCCAAGGCACAGCATTACAGTTTAATTCTTACATTAGTTCCAAACATCCTATTTTTAGGAAGAAAGATTTATTCCTCCAGCCTATTCCCTCTCATTCTAATCACTTCACTCCACTGATTTTTTTTTTTTTAATGTCTTTTGCAGTCACACCTATACACGACTTGCAGGTCATTGTAATTTAAATATTGTGGGTCGTGCATGGCTGAACAGCTGAAAAGCATTCCAGATGTGACTAAGAAGTGCTACTGAGTTCCAAATGATGTTTCAAGCTCAGCTCTCTCAGCGTATGTTAGAAACAAAAGGAAGTAAAGCTCTGTAACTGAGACACAGTGGCCATTCTCTACATGCACCTATTTCAGTGGGGTCTCATGACCCCCTGAGCTCTGCAGCCTGGAGTTCCACAATGATAACAGATCTTTGCACTTTCTGCTGGTGAGAATTCCAACTCCTTTGGGGAACAAGGAAAATAAGTGGCCTTCTACCACTGGAAGAAATGTTTCCAAACTGACTAAGGCCTGGCTGAGCTCTGGAAAATGTAGCAAAAGAAGCTGTATCCATATGCATTCATAACACAGCATCCAGAAGACAACATAAGGAAGAAAATTTAACTGCACAAGGGACAGTGTCCCTTATATCCAATTATGTCCTTATATCCAATATCTCCAATTTTAGTCCCTGGAAGTTACACAACCAGCAGATGAAGGCTGTGCTACAGCAACACAATTTAGCTGGAGAATAAATGCATCAAGTTATGCAGATTGACAACACCTTGACCTTTTGCATTTCCACATATTAGGCACTGGATGAAGCAGTAATACCACTGAAGTCAAACGCAAAATTTATGCAACTTCCATGAGGACAGGATTTAAACCAGGAGCTTTTGAAATGGGAGAGCATGAGTAAAGACAGTCTATGTCCTTCACTGAGAGAAATCCGTCTATCCTGACTCCAAAGTGTGACCACTCTGCCAGGAATGGAAACTACGTAGCTCTGGAAGATTTCAGATTGATATTAAAATTCAAGACATCAACATTTTTTTTCTCTAAGTGAACGCAATAATTATGTACTTTGAATGTGCTGAAAACAAAGTCAGTTAACAAAACCCAAAACTTAATCCAGGACTACTAATTTTCAAGATCTCCCAGAGGTATGTAGAAGACTTTTTACCATGAAAAGTAATTCCCACTAGGCCAGAGTGACTATGAATTTTCATGGAAAGCTTTGTCATTCTCAGCTATGCAAATGAAATTCAGATAACCCATAGAGTCAGTCTACAGAACCCTAAAATGCTTTAAGAACAGTTAAGAATAAAAGAGGCCTAACTGCCTGACGGTGATGATTACCATGCCCTTCAGGTAAGTGTGCATAAGGCAATCTAAAATTATTCAGCTCTCAGGAGTGTGTGCTAATCAGAGGTTCTGCTAAGCAGAACTATTACCAGTCCTTTAAAATAACCTCTAAAACATTCCTACAAAACATAGGATAAGTCATCAAGTTACTTTATTTTATGAATCATGAAACTGGAAAACATGTAATTGAAAGTGTGTTTATTTGCCTCTAATGCTTTTAGAGAATGATCCATCCACATTATTCTGAAGCTGTCTCTTAATTTTCTTTCCATTTCCCTGTCTTTCAAAGCTCTACCCTCATTCTCCTTTTGCTTTTCCCATGTAAACGAAGAATAGCTCTTATGATCTTAAGAGGAGCATGTTAGTTTTATGTTTTAACTCTTTTGTTGCAAACACCTGCTGATTTGAATTATCCATCAGTTCACAGAATATGAATTGGAAGGGACACAAGGATCACTAAAGTCCAGCTCCTGGCACTGCACAGGACTATCCCCTAGAGTCACACCATGTTGACACTGTTGTCCAAACAGTGCACTCTGTCAGGCTGGTGCTGTGACCAATTCCCTGGGGAGCCTGTTCCAGTGTTCAGCCTCTCTCTGGGTGAAGAATCTTTGTGTTATATCCAACGTAAACCTCCCTTGACACAATTTCCTGTCATTCACTTGGGTCCTGTTGCTTGTCATCAGAGAGGAGAGATTTGTACCTGCCCCTCATCTTTTCCCGTGTGAGTAGACAGCTGTGAGGTCCCATCTCAGTCTCCTTTTCTCCAGGGCAGCTGGCCTGTCTACATTCTGTGTAATCATATTTTTATCTAAGCCTGATAGTCACTGCCACTATACACAATTGTTTACCGGAGTTAATCTCATTCATAACACATTCTTAAGGATCTTAACAGTTGAAACCCCTTAGTGTCAGAACTGTGTTTGTGTGTTGCTGTTTCTAAGTTCTGCATGCCTGCATTATAGTGGTTGTTACATGTATTATTTCACTCATTTCACTCTTTAAAATATATTTCATTTCTATAACATGAATATGTCTCTTTCCTGCCATGTTGAAAAAAAAAATTAAGTATCTTTCAAGTCAACATTTTTTTCCAATTCTATGCTTTTGTCTAGCATTCAAGAGGAAAACAAAAAAAAAGCATATTTTTAGAAATTTATTTTCTAAACAATGTGGTTTTCCGTGGGCCTCGACCTCCTAAATAGGTCTTGCTGGAAAGTGGATGTCAGCAAGCCCTACTTTTCTTGTTCAAAAGTGGAAACTTAATGGGCTATGGAGTTTTTTGTTGCAATTCAGAATGGGAAGGCACTGTCTTCTATGAACAGGAGAGGGAAAATAGAAGTGGATGAGTGCCAAAAGAAAAAAAACATAAAAGAATCGACAGCATTCAAAGGCAAGAAGGCAAGAGGTTGAAAGCCTGTTTCTTACCACCTATTTATTAAAGCTTTAAAATTCAGAAAGCCTTATTTAAAGTAGGTAAGTTTGGGGTCTAAGTAGTTGGCTGTTGCCGGATTGCATTAGGACCTTACCTCCTGCTTACAAAGGAAATCCTCGTTACATGGTAATGCCCGTCAACCACACTGGGTGACTCCTCTATCCCTTACACTTGCAAACTTCTCATTGCAATTAAATGATCTCTGAATAAATCCCTCTTTACGGAGTACAACTCAATCTGGTTCTGTTTGAGCCAATCACAACAGAAGATTTTAAGTCATGTCCTTTCCCTGATGCTGCTGAAGTGCTGGCAATTTGCTGTGCTCCAAAGCTCAGAAAGGCATTCTCGTTAGTCTGATTAGAATCGGTGCGCATGCGTCAAACGCGGAGTGGGCGTTCACAGGGAACACAAGCTACATGCTCCTTTCAAGTATCACATGAATTGTTGTTACCCTTTCACCCAAGTGATTTCAGTCCTCAACTGAAAAGTGGGAAATGGTTTCAAATCCTCATGCTATGTAATGGAACAGGGCTGATAACTCACCAAAAAGTTTCCTAATCAATGTTTAGGTTTGGGTGTATTTCAGTCAGTTTTTTCTCTTGATGTTGCTTTTGCTTTTCAGTTCAAGAAGGGCGTGAGTCTGCAGTTCAGTAATTAGAAATTACTCCTGGTGGGGAAGGGCTCACATAGGCTGACTGCTCCTGTGACTGAATAACATGGAAGTCTTAAAAGTTCATTAGGAGACCTTGCTGTTAATTGAGGGCTTTGACTGCCTCAGAGCAATTGTTTGTTGAAAAGATCTCTACCTGTTTTTAAATGAAGCTTGGAATGACTTGCTGCGGGACCTAACAGTCTAGACCTGAGTGGAGAACCTGCCTGCCTCATGTGGGAGCTGTAAGCAGAGCTCAGCGTGGGTTCTTTGCTGCTCACAGAATCCTTCAGCTTATTCCTTGTAACAGCTGCAGGGAGCTTCTAGGGAAAGTATATGGATGCAATCAGTATTACATAAGGCAACTCTTAAGAGCAGCAGGCACACACTTTGTCCTGTTGCTCTGCATTTCATCTCATCTTGCTGCAGGCCAAAGCACAGCACAAGTTCTGTTGTGTCTTGCAGGACCTCTACATCATTTCCAGCATTAGAGTCCTGCTCAGGCTGAGGTACAGCAACCTCCCTTCCTGTCTGGATTCCCAAAGCAGCCAAGAGAGCACAGAGTGAAGAAGGCCCTTACCTTTTCTTAGGGGCTTCTCCAAATGTGACCTCTGCTTCCTGTGCAAAGCTAATATAAGGTACATGGCACAGCAAGGGCTTTTCTGAGCAGGCCTAATCACATTGATAGGATGAGCTCAATGCTTCCATATAACCAGTCTCTGTTAAGCTTTCCAGTTGGTGCTTAGCAAGTTCCACTTGTTAAGTGGAACTTGTTAAGTTCCAGCTTAGTGTTAGCTGCTGACCATATCCAGGTGCTTACAGAACAGAAACATCCCACTGTTACCTAAAATTCCTTCTGAACCCAACCCCCTTTTACCTTCTAGAGAACCTCCAAAGCCCTTCAAGTGCCTCTGAGAGAAAACATATTTTATGTTTCACCCTATGTTTATATTTTAGTATTTTTATATATTAAGTATTATATATACTTTATGCTTTTGAGTGCCAGGTTTAGTTAGCTTACACCATATTTTACCATTAAGTTCTTAACATTATTTTCACAATCTGTTTCCTACCTAAGTTAGGTACCTGAAAGTGCCACAGGCTCTCTTCCCTGTGAGAAGGGTCACATGATAGGCTTCCCTCAACCCATAAAACATTTGTACCTTCCTCTTTCTGCTGTGCCATTAAACAAATCCACATCACAACTGTTTCTTTAAGCTTAAACTGTGTCTACTCATGATCTTCCAGAAGTACCTAAGTGACTGTACTTTCCAGGGAGGCTAAGTGCCTCCAAGTGACACACCAAGCAGCCAGTGTCTCTGCAACTCCACCTGCTACCAGCTGAGCAGCCATGGCAGGTTTTGCCCTAGAAGATGTGCCGAGAACCTCATCCTGTTTTCCAAACAGACATTTTTAGCTCCGATAAAGGAAACACATACTTCAGGGCTCAGCAAAAATACATCAGTGATTACCTATTTGAGAGCATTTCTATTTTTCTAAGCATTCCCTTATGATTTTTATTCTATCAAAGCAATGCGAGCGGCGTTTGCCTGGAAGCCAGCCCTTCTTGAAACATGTCTTCCTCCCGAGAGGTTCCTGTGCCATAGTCCGATTTATTAGAGGCACCCTTTCATGTTCTGAGTAATTCTTAGAAATAATTCCTGCTCCAAAAGGCTCGAAAGAGGACATTAATTTATAGCTCCTTACAGGGAGCTTCGATGCTGATTTCGGCGAGACAGAGCATCACGTAAGGGTTTTGCATCAGACGGTGCGGAGGGAGCACGGAGCCGAGCTCGCTCCCCGCGGGCGCACCGCGCTCCCCGCGATCGGCTCCGCGCCGCTGCCCGCGCCCGCCGCCAGCCCCGGCCAGCCCGCTCGGCTAGCGGCACTCACCTCCACGAAGTAGAAGCAGGGCAGGAGGGTGACGCTGTCCTTGGTCACTTTGCCCTTCTGCCGCTCCTTCGCGGACATGCTGGCGGGGCTGCGGGCGGCGGCCAAGAGCCGGCTCGGCGGGCGGGGGTCCCGGCCAGCTTAACTCCTTCGCGCCGGGCCCGGCGGGCACCGGGGGCCAGGGGAGCCCCGGGCGGGGCGCCCACGCGCGGGGATGCTCCGGCTGCGGCGGGAGATGTGTGCGCGCACCCACGGGTTTGAGAGACCTGAACGGGATCCCTGAGGGCATCAGGGCGCTCGGGATGCTCCTTGGGGAGTCTGCGGCGTTTATCTTGTTTCTGGGAAATATTTTTTTCTGAAACAGAGCAGTAGAACGTTCCAGGGAATAGCATGCCTATACAATCAATGTTCCTTTCTTGCAGGTGTACCCTTTTTGAAATGAAGATGTCAATGACAGCTCACCTCAGTCTTAGTGCCAGTCAGGGGGAGTAGTGTGACTGGGACTGAGCCAAACTGAGCTCTTCAACCCCATGTGCAGTACCGAGGCATGTGATTTCTCTGATCTGTCAAGTATCTGGTGCAGTTACTGCTACAGTCTTGAAGAGAACGGAATTAACCCGAGCAATTGTTTCCATGGTGAAATGTGCTAAGATCCTATTTATGGATCAAAGTTTGCAGCCTTTTCTCAGGCAAGCTCCTGTTGATGTCAATGAGAGGTACCCTGGAGAAGGCCTGCAGGAATTATGTGTGTAAGATAGCAATTACATTCTTTGTAGCACATTAATAAGGTCTGCAAAAATTGTCTTGTGCCTATAAGCTTATTCTTGTATTGTGATATTCAGCTTTAATGTACAAGGAGAGAAGCATGACTCAAGCAGTCATTGTTTATTTCCTGCCTTTCTCCTTTTGGGGGAAAATGGGAAATTACCTGCTGTTTTTGTTCAGGTCGTTACTGGTATTTTGGCTGCTATGGCAATGGAGGTGAAGATTCTCATCAGCCCCTTTTCTTTTCTAGCTGTTCTCTTTTCATTT